GGGATAAGGAGCAATATATATATATATATATATATATATATATAGTCCATTGTGTAATTTTACGCTTAAACACACAGAAACAAAAGAAAGTGTCGTCCGACTGCACACATGAAAAGTCAATATATCGTCGAGCGATTAATTTACCACTTAAAAGCACAAGATCTGTTCGTCCACACATACTGCATCCTTCTCACACCAAAGCTGAATCGACACCGGAAACGGTCATATTCATCAAGGTTGTAGTGTGCATGCCTTCCATCTCTGGCTTTTCACACTCGAAATCTTGACTTACACGTGAAGATACAGAAACTTAGTGACGTTGCTCAATTCTATTGATATCGACAAAAAAATGTTCGAACGAAATGTGTGGTACTATGGGTCAATTGCGTCGATGAATCAGGTCAATCATGTCCTTAAACCGCATTCGTGATTCTGTCCCAGATAATCATTACACTGCTGCACATATTAGGTCCACCAGCAGTAGCTGGCAGTTCCTAACGGTCATACTGTACAGATAAAGTGGCTTACTTGACAGTATACGACCTTACCCACACGTGTGCAGACCAGCTGTCTACAATTTACTCACTACGGGTCTGGATATATCAAAACGAGTTACTACTTGTCTCTTATGTTTTTTCAGTTGCCAATATTTGAACAGCTCTGGCAGTTTGTGGTTCCATTAAAAAACTCGACCTTCTATTATCAGACACCATCAAATCTTTGTATAATGGAGCTTGAGATGTATACGTCCAAAACTTGCACCGAACATCACCAATCATAACTAGGTAATATTTTTGTAACAAGGCAGTATATTTTATTTATTTTTTTATAGCTGGGCAATAAATAAAACAATTGAAATATCCACAAAAATTACATGTTTCAGATTTAACCAATAAAAATTACAAAGAAAAAGGAGTAAGTTTCAAATATGAAACAATCGAAAAACAAATTTAAAAAAATATTTGTTTTTCTTTAGTGGAAATCTCATGAGTGTTGCAACAGAAAAGCAAGGCTCTTTCATTGATAACTGCTGTCTACAAAGAAATACTTCAATAAAACCTACTCTGTGATGTAATGCTGTGATGATAGCTCATTTTTAAACTACAATTTCAATAAAATCCTGTTTCTCATGAATGGTGAACATTATTGAATGTCAAGTATGAGTAAATTGTTGTAGAACTATCAGACAATTACAGAAAAGGCCGCAGGCTCAATAGCCTTCCGCAGTAACTATCTGTTATACCTGCCTGGAGGGCGGGTATTTCTGCTAGTAATCATAAGGCAACAATAACCCAAAGTAATATAGAAACTCGGCAAATTAACAAATCTGGAGACGGAATAGGATGCACTGCCTTTCCAAGACGAGTAGCACGTGTAAAACTCGCAGAAATAGCCCGCATTTTCATAACAAGCGCAGTTGAATATAATGACATATAGATTTTTTTTTCAAATGTGTACAGTTTTTTAAATTTTCTAGACCCTTTTAATACTCCTTTCGTTTTTAAGTGCAGTTCACAAGTTCATATATATGTATGTATACACACACACACACACACATACTTAAAGCGCTATCTGTACACAACTGTGTGAAAACTTGCAACGATAAGTAAAAGTCAGCTAAGGAGTTTTCCACTTGAACACCCATTTATCTAATTTATTCAAAACTACATTTTAGAGACGAATAATATCACGTGCGTAGAATCAGAACATAAAATAGTTTTATGAACCATTAATAGTATTGGATTGTTAGGAAAAAAACATACATCACTGCTTACTGTTTATTTCAATACGAGTTCTATTTTTTCATAATGAAAAAATTAAATTCGGTTTCAAACATTTCCTTCCCTTGTTATACAAACTCATGAAAAGCCACGGTATTTACTGTACAAGATTAATGTTCTTTGAATGATAGCAAAATGTTGCCACTAAAAAGCTCTCTTTCTCTTTATAATAGCTTCCCGGTTGGAGATCAGTTTGATTTCCCGCGGTAGACACGGCAGATAGCCCAATGTGGCTTTATTCTAAAATAAACAAATAATTTATAATAATTAATTATGAAAAACAACCGAGCTTCTAAGGTGATGCCAAACTGCTGAATTTATTTCAAATATTTCTTGTTCACAATAACAGAATGATATATTTTGTCTATTTATCTGTATTATTCTTTTTCTTATGTTATCAGTATACCCCTCAAGCAAGTAAACATTACCATTTTGATAGAATTAGGATATTCAGAACTTACACTTCAGGGCTTATAACACCAAAATTTAGGGTTCAATCCCTGTGCAAATAGCTTCAAAAGTCAAGTCAGACCGTACACTAATTTTCATTGTGACTGACTTGTAAATGTTGTTAAACATGAAACCAGTACGTAACGATAGGCCCTTGTTGCTTTTTTGGGTTCGAATATTTGCGATTATTGGCAGTTCAGAAAGAAGAATGCCAACTTAAGCTATTTTTTTATTATTATTTTGAGGTTCTATTTAAGGGCATTTGAGCTAAACTGACTGTAAAGAAAATCTTAACTTTTATATACCTGCAATTTCATTCAATAAAGTAATAAGAATACAATTAACACAAAATACCACAAATCATTTAAAACTATCTTGGAAGATTTTGCGACATAAAATAGTGCCTTCCTTTTATCAAAGAACACTGCCAAAATAACATTAAGGTTTGAAACAGATTTTAGGCAATACAACTACATTAATAGTAAAAATAAATACCTTTTGTTGACAATAGAGGACACTGATGTTATGGACTGTGTAGATCCCCTCCTTTCTAATGCCCTTTGTGAACTAGAGAGCTGTTTTTCATAGTCTGTATCCAACGTTTTATCAGAGTGTCTGCTACAGCAGTCCTTATTTAGAAATCTGCTAATATTGGTTCTGTGCATATTTTCTTGCCCTTTTAAAATAGAAGGTATATCTTGGCTCTCGGTGCTAATATTTAATGACTTTTGATTAGGCCTGCCAATGGAATTAATGATTTTATTGTCTAATAATTTGTTGTTCATGCTGTTTACTGTATTCTGCTTTTGAACTATCTCGTCTTCATGCTCTCTTTCTTGTTGTTTTCGGCGACGAAAAAATATTATCAGTAAAACTGCAATCAGAGCAAGTAAAGGAATCAGTGCAGAAAGTGTAGCAATCAGCGCTACCTGGTGGCTTGTTAAGCGAGACTGTTTTACGTCATCAGAAATATGATGAGAAACTTCCAATACAGAAGTAGGGGGTGTTACTTTCAGTCCATCGAGGGACATGTTTTTGGTAAACTTTACACGGTGAAATCGCGCACTACTACTTTTATCCTCAACTGCATGTGCATTTTCCTCGCATGCAATACCACCAAATCCAAGTGGGCAGCGACACAAGATCTCGTTCACACGGTCCACGCACGTTCCACCATTGAGACAAGGGTTGGAACGACATTCGTCGATCTCCACTGAACAATCCTTTGAAGTAAAACCCGATTGACAGTCACATTGGAAGTCGTTGATCAAATCGTGGCAAACACCACCGTTAGCACATGGTTTTATAAGACAATCGTCCACATTGGTCTGACACAAAGAGCCCACGAACCCTGGAACACAGGAACAGTGGAAAGAGTTGATGTTGTCCACACAGGTACCACCATTGAGACAGGGATTCTCGGCACAGTCGTTAATATCCATATCACAGAGATCCCCTGTGAAGCCAGTTTCACAGATGCATGTGTAGGTGTCCACTCGTTGTACACAGCTTCCTCCTGGAAGATAACATAAACATCTGCTTAAGAAACACCCAGATTCATTATGAGATACAACAAACAGCAATGAAGTATACAGCAAAAGAATGCGATGAAGAATAACAAATAGACTTATGGGAACGCTTTGAAAAGATATACCTCGTTTTCTACTGTCTGCTTCCTGTTTTAGGAGATTCCGATGTCTAGATTTTTTTCCATCTGCATATTTATTGGGTATATGAGAACTAATGGCAAGCCACTGATTTTTGTAATTTCTGAAATATGTATTATGCGCATTTGAAAGTCTCAGAAAGTTCCGCGAGGACCAATCTGTCCACTAAAAAACAAAACTGCTTAATATTTTTTTATTTTTAGATGATTATTAATTTTTCTATGCTTCAGTTTCGTCATACTTGGAACGTTTGCAGTAAAAATTAACTCAAAAATCATTTCCAAAAAATAAACATAAAATACTATTCAATGTTTTACTTTATTCAATGGTTGTTACGAGGTTCAAAAGCTAAAAGATAGTAATAGCTTCAAGAGTTCAATTCAAAATAACAGTTTTCTTTGTTGTTGTTTTTGTAAATTAAGCTTTTTTTCTCTCTATTTGTGTTGGTTATGAATGTAATAGTGTATATTTTTTATGGTCAAATGATTATAAAATAACTGGGAAACGTTAAAAAAATATTTGAAGGGCATTAAACTGGACCAAACAAAATGAGAGTTTCTATATCAAGTTACATCTAAGGATTTGTTATTTTTTTAGCGCAAAGCTATACAATGGGCTGTGCGTCCTGTTAACCATGGGGAATTAAACCCCATATTTTAGCGTTACAAGTACGTAAGGTTACCGTTGATATCAAGCTTCAGTGTAATTATCAAAACTAATTATTTAGCCAACATTATTTAACAAGGTCTTTTATATCTAAAACATAAAAAAATGCAACCTTTTAAAATTTAATTGAAAAAAATTAAAATTTCGGGAAGACTTTTCGTTTGTTTTATCGTTATCGAACAAAACTACACAAGAGCTATTATACAGTCTTCCCTAATGAGGGCTGAGCGTGTCCGAGAGGTTAGCATGCCAGACTGTAGAACTGATAGACTAGAGGGAAGACAGTTAGTCTAGAGCATCCAATGCCAAATCTTGGGATACATTTGATAGTTCGAAAAGTGGGATTGGACCATCACTCTTATAAAGCACCTACGATCGTATTCCCAGTCTGGGCATTCTAACCACTAGGTCATGGCCGCCCATCTCATAAAAAACAAAAGTTAACTTGTAACATGATATACTCACCATTCAAACAAGGGTTTGGTTCACAGTTGTCAGGTTGGAGTTCACAATGATCACCAGAAAAACCGTCAGGACAAGTACAGAAGTAGCCATCTGGTCCATTTTGACAGGTTCCACCATTCTGGCAATGGCTTGCTGAGCATGTGTTTGTTGATGTTTCACAGTTGCGGCCGTAAAAACCACGTGGGCATTCACATTTGTAGGTTTTATTCGTTTGCTGGAAGAAAATAAAGTAGATTTGTTGTTTAAAAACTAATACTGATCTCCAACACGCTACTTGTATTAATCATACCAATTTTTAAGCTTTAAGCTTCAAGCTAGTGGGATTAAACCAGGGCTTTCCGGATGTAGACAGAAAACGTAAAGATTCGTTACTATGACAACCAAAGTATTTGAAGCAATTAAAATCATTTATATAATATCATAATTATCACACCAGGGCACTTGCAAACAGCGATTTTTGGCACGTGCAATTTTATGAAATTTACATTACAGTATTCGCAAGTATCAATTTCCAACAACTTGTTTGTTGTTAAGCGCAAAGCTATCAGTGCTGTGCCCACCACGGTTATCGAAACCAGGTGTTTAGCATTATAAGTCTGCAGCCTTATCGTTGAGCTACTGTGGGGGCTTAGTTTTATAACTACCACAGTACGGCACTCGGAACAATTAACATCATTAGATTTCAGTCAAAGTCCTACAAACTTAGGTTTAAAATATCATTAGCAGCATATGTAGATAAATTTGATCATAATGTACAATCTCAGACAATTCTCCGAACTTTCACGTGAATGACGAATGCGCTACAACCAACATGTTCTTCACTTCATATTCGTAAAAAGTAATCGTGAATAATTCATAAAAACAAGTTAATAGCATCAATGGTGAATAGTCACGAAATTTTATGAATAAATATAAGATTGCTGTGTGAATAAAAATACATTTCAAGACACCATACATATACCACATGTAGCTTAGCCTTAATCTTTCGATTTGCCCTTGTCTATGGCTACTAATGACGGGTGTAATTCACAAAAACCGGTATAACTCTGTGATGTGTGGCAAATCGAATGATAAATTGGGCTTCGCGTTTATTTGTTTGTAATTTTACTGTTCAAATATCTTCTAGCTATTGAGATCCAACTTTTTTCCCGCGTTTCGAGTTATAGAACGAAAACACTGCATTAATGGAAGCCATAAAATCCTCACAGCCTGTTCTAATGCATCAGTATTGCAAGGTCAACGTTCCCACCGTTAGTAGTTTATTTCTGCACCAACGTTTGTACAACTAGCTGGTCTAGTCTTACAACATTCCTAAGCTGCAGGTGTGCTGTCTAGTGTTTTAATTATTAAAAACACTCGAAGCAGCTGGTGCAACAGTCTCTTTCTGAATAAATGATCAAGAAAACAAGAGTGAAGAGAGAGAGAGAAGTTTTTCAAATCTTTGTTGGTTGTTTAACAACACTATATTATTACTCTCTGCAGGAGCGACTCTAGCTAGTCCTACATTACACTAATATCTGAAGGTAAAAATTACCAAACACACTCTAGCTAGTCCTACATTACACTAATATCTGAAGGTAAAAATTACCAAACACACTCTAGCTAGTCCTACATTACACTAATATCTGAAGGTAAAAATTACCAAACACACGTTCAAACAAACACTTCCACCTGGATATTTAATGACCTTGTTTGACGTAACAAAAAAAAGTTTACTTTGCATTTCCCTCCGTTTTGGCAAGGCTGGAGAGCACAATTGTCCACCTGGAACTCACAATTGGTCCCTGTGATCCCCTCAGGGCACGTGCATGTGTAGGACCCCTGGCCAGTGTTGGTGCACGTGCCCCCGTTCTTACAGGGCTTGTGATTGGTGCAGTAATTTAAATCTGAATAACAGAAAAGAGACGCCAGATTTAGACGTTTTATAGATAAACGAAATGAAATATAAAAAAAATTATTGCCCCCCCAGATTGTTTATTAATTACTTTACTCCAACAATGCAAATTGTTTAAGTTACTTCAGCTAAAGAAATTGTTTGAGTCCACTTCAACATTATGTTCTTCTTTTATTAATTCAACACACACACTTGTTAAAGTCAGTACTTAAATAATTTTAAGTTACTTCAGCTAAAGAAATTGTTTGAGTCTACTTCAACATTATATTCTTATTTTTATTAATTCAACACACACTTGTTAAAGTCAGTATTTAAATAATTTTAAGTTATTCAACATTGGCATGTTTTAACTAAATTTACTTTACTAAAGAAATATTTGAAATTATTTCAAAATAAATACAAACAATTAAAGGTATACTTCAAATGTAAATACTTTAAAGATATTTCAAATTGACTTTTTGTTTAAATTCTTCAACATACAAAAATCATTTCAGTTATTCTAAAATACCCATTTGTTTAAGTTTCAATACACAAATCGTTGGATCTATTTTAGCGTACGGTATAGAATGTTTGTATATTTTCACATTCTTCTACTGTATACATATTAGCAAGATATTATAATATAAACGCCAGTTTCAAAATTATGAATATAAACAGACGAATTATTACAGCCTAGAAAAACATTTGAAAGTTACTGCATATGAATAATAAATGTTTATATTTATGCTTTTAAACTATTTCCTATTATACTAATTTATCCATTAAAAAATCATTATATTATTAAGTGGTAACGCTTTCTCTCACCTTGGTTACATAGTAAACCACCCCACCCTTCCTCACAATTGCACTGCCAAGGTTGGGTACACGTTCCGTGCACACAGTTCGGGTAGCGCGTGCACTGCTGACACAGGGGTCCCTCCCAACCATATCGGCACCTGAAAAAAAAAAATGAAAAAAAAAGTGCTTTGTTTTGCCACAAACACAACCGACAAGTAACCCCAATGTATAATGGTGTTCAGTTTGATACCAACGAAAGAAAACTATCCTGGGAAACTTGAGAGTTCCCACGGGGAAAATACCCTAGAAAGTTCCCATGGTGTAATAGAAAATACTAATTAAAAAGGAAAATCGGCAAGAGTGTACACTATACTTACTTGCACTTGTTGGGCTCATCGCATCGGCCATTTTCTTTGTGGCACCCTAGGAGGCAGATGGCTGGAAGAATAAGAAGTTGAACAACCATGAGCTGAAACTCGATACAATACATTAATGTAAAGCTATACATGGTTTTGTTATGCTTTCATATAAGCGATTATTAATGTTGTAGCATGCCACCAGAGTAACACGAAGCAACTGCAACTGTTTAGACAGTTCATTATACTGACTAACCACATTAATCTTATAGCACTGTTACTTTGTTTGTTTAGTATCTCAAGACATGACTTACTAACTACAGTAAAGGAAATATCCATATAATAGTGTGAAGGTGTTTAAAGTACTCTGCCCTCCGTTGGGTCAACGGTACATTTCCGGACTTACAGTACTAAAATCCGGGATTCGATACAACGCGGTGTACAGACCGCAGGTTGCCTATTGAGTAGTTATGCTCTAAAAATAAAATCCAACAACTTTGCCTTTAATGCCCTCCAGTGGATCAGCAACAAGTCTGAGAGCTTATAACGCCAAAACAAAGGTTTAGATCCCCGCGGTGGGAACAGAACAGATAGTCGATCGTGTAACTTTGGGCTTAATAACAATCAAACAAGAACAAAAACTGAAGTTATGTCCACCGGTAGATGAGCGGTAACTTTACGGACTTACAACATTAAAATCCATTCCTCGCGGTGGACAAAGCAGATAGCCCAACATGGCTTTGCGTTAAAACAAACTGCCCTTTACAGGATTCATGCGAACAAGCAACGTTAGTGTGCTTGGAAACTAAATCATTGTTTTGTTAGAGGATGAAAAGTTGTCCGAATGAGTGAATAAATACACCAATAAAATTAAAAAAGGATCATATGTGAAGTGAAAAAAATACGATCTATTGCGTATTAAATAATATAAAGTTTTAACATTTTCTAATTGAAAGATCAAGTTAAACATTAAATCAAAGGCGTGGCGATACACGTGATAAAATAAAAATAAGTTACTTGTTCATAAATAATTTCAAACTCCAAGAGGGCGTTCGATATGTAATTTTTCTGTCTACTTAATCACCTGTAAGGAGTTCCACGTGATATTATATTAAAATATTACAAATAAACTTGTTCAGTACAAAGCGTTAGGTGGCACTGTAATACTTTGTGTATTTAGCACGATTTATCTTGTAGAATTTACATTACGTGTTCTTAAGTTTATATTTGTTTTATATAAATGTACAAGTAAATAATTACACGCTGTTTAATACATCGTTCTTGATTAGCACACTGCAAAACGTTATCTGACTGTTCACAGTAACAGTACTTTTCATGGATTTCAAAACATATGGCCCTTCCCGTATTCTGCTAGATAACACATACAAATCATTGATTTCACAATAAACTCCCGTACACCTAGCTAATTTAAAGCTTTTATGATTTAAAATAACTCAGTTACAATTAAAGTAATAATAATGTCTAAGGATCTGTAAATACGTATACACCAACGAAAGAAAGGTTAGCATTACGATATCATTAGTTACCATTGGAACAATATTCGCCGGTCCATCCAGGCAAGCATATTTTGTCGCCTTTGGAATTGCAGCTGTAGTGGCCGAATGTTTCGTCTCTTGGCCGGCACAGCTTGGCACAGGCGTCACCGTAGTAATTTTCTTCACAGAGTACCCGAAAAGAATACGTCATAGTGGTGTGGTTCGTACGATGTGCGTCTTGCGTCCACTCTGGTGAGACGTCCAGCCACCGCTGGGTGGCTAGTCGACTGACCAAAGTATTTCCTCCTGCTGTGTGAAGTACGGCATTTTTGTTCATTACACCAATACAGACATTAATAACCACGCACACATCGATATCTTAAACTTTACGTAACGCAGATTTAAATTACTATCGATATACAAACAGGTGTTTAGATATAGTTTTATTACATACACAGAAGGTCAATACAACAGAGATAACACTAATGGCTTACGTTATTGTAGAACATGCATTGATACACTATAACATTACTCGTCAAAGATACACAAATGATCAGTGGTCTGAAAGTAGTTGAAACAAACAATTAGCTTCACTATCGCTACGCAACGTGACAAAAACCAAAGATAATTATAAATAAGGATTTTTTGTACGCTATAAAAAAAAATTAATTGATGTGAACATTTCATATTTAAAAGAATAAATAAACGGAGTTACTGACTCGATGATATTTTTTCCCCAATAATAAGGTTAATGAAGCAGAGTTAAATTGATTCGTAACTGAAAAGCAGCACACAACCCTCTCGCGACTCGCACAGTTAACGTACTCTATTGGTGTTTCAAATATCTCTAAATTTTCCACTCAAATCGCAAGTTCTGAATTGTAAATATTTGCCTGTAACTAATACTAGATTATCACTAAAAATTAAAATTAAATTCCTGTAAGTAATAATTTTACAAGATCAGCCTACAACCGGCCGACTCGATAAATAAGATGATAATATTCTAACATTAAATAATGAATATCAACAGGCTGTGTAATTATTTTATTACAAATCCAACCCAAAAGTGCCCAACTTTAAGCCAATAGTTATCGAACTAAGCATATTTTTTTTTAAATACACTTGGAACCAATCAAACTGAATAACACATTACAGCCCCCCCCCCAAAAAAAAACAATTGTCGAGCTACTGTATTTAAGTATTAACCGAGCTTCAAATAATTAACTGCATGATAAAACATGAAAAAGAAAACGCGAAATTCAAGAATTTCAATATATATGTTGTGAATAAAAAACAACATGGTTGTAGAATATCATTATATTAATAAACGGAAATATTTAAATTACTTAAACAATAAATACGCATAATATCGTTAAAATTAAATAATATATAATCTGTTTAGATGAAACTGTACGTGTACATTTAAAAGTTGTAAGTCAGGTAAACCACTACTATATGTAGAATGTTTCTCCTATTTTTATTTTTTGTGCACTCCGTCGTGTTGACATTTTGTCTACTTGGCAAATATTGATTGTAGGCAAGCGCATGTTTCTCACGGTTCTCATGTCCCCAGTCTTGGAAGACAAGGGAAGAGTAGGGGAAGTGAAAGACAGAAAGAAAAAAAAAGAAACAAGACTTAGCATCGCCAATGATCTTGAGAACGCCAGATGGCTGACTGACCGTTTCCTGCAAGAAAGGTCAGCCAATGTTTGATTCATGTGCTCGCCTCTACCGTGGGAAGCAAGGTTAGTAGATTTATCTAGAGGGCGCTCTAAATAACCCATGATATAAGCCTGCAGGGATTATGCGATATTAAGGTACTATAGAATTTGACAGCTCAATATTAAATTTTATAGGACACTGAGTTTACAATAAGCAGAGAATGGAACATTAATAATATTTACAGAATTCTCTCGATCTCATGGAGCGATTGTGGAATACAAGTATGAGTTTCCATGGAGACTGTCAGAAAACACCGCTATGCAACAGATCTTCGCGAGAACGTTATTAACCTTCAATATAAATATCATATTAGCAAAATGAGTTATCCTTATTGAGAAGTAGGGTACATATACAGGGGAGGGGGAAATGGGTGCAATTTACCCACGACCAATAAACAATAACAACCAAATACTGAATGTTTATTTGAAAAATACATGTTTGCAACTGTGTCACTATGACAAGAGTGGTTTTAGTTGTTTCATTTAAAACCTATTATTTTGTAACTTTTCATTAACATATTCTTACAGCTTCGCCATTGAACAAAAAATTCGTTGCCATTACTTTAATTTAATATAAATATTAGTATTTAGCATATTATCTACCCATCACTTTAGTTCGTGTGTTACTCCAACTGTAGTTAATAAATAGTATTGAACTGTATTTGAATTATAAAGTTCATTTGTGAGGGACTTGGAGTAACACATCATACAGATAACAGTCTATATGCGATGGTACCCAATTTAATACATCTTATACATATACGGCTGTTCTCTTTCCTAGAGTTCCCCCCCCCCCTGGGGGACAGCGGTAAGTACAGTGTGTTTGATGGTTCACACTATAACGAATTTATTATTATATATTTATGTGGATATCAACGTTTGTTTAGATTAAATTTATATTTAGAAACATACATAACTTATACTGCTAAATATGTATTGCGAAACTCCCCTCTATTCTCCAAAGTTGCAGAAGATTCTCGAGAGTATGAATCAACAATATATATATATATATATATACACACGTAAATGCTTAAATATAGTTCAGTATTGTTACGTAAAACTGAAATTTCTAGAACGCTTCCACACCACTATAAGTAAAACCAACGCGCCGCGCCAAAAGAGAGTATCTATTACTAGTTCGCTATAGTCAGGGTGCTATATACTTCGGAAGCTATAACTGTGATTGTTATAACGCTTATCAACCGGAAAACTTCAAATATTTGACCAGGAGCATTTACAAAGTTCGAACATTTAACTTCAGCGGATTCTCATCGAACATTAGTATTTTTACGAAAACATTACCTAACTTCAACGGTTGAAACTCAGTGTGTGTGGCTAAGGTCAAAGCTAGCTAGCTTCCCGGCGAATCGTACCTACATCAACTCGTAATTAACTCGCTCATCGTGAACCCTCGATAAGATATAAAGGAAGTTCCAAACTAGAAAGAATACTTTATATTGCTTGTAAGTTTGTGAAACTTTTGTTTATAAATCATTGTTTGCAATAACTATTTGTAATAACTGTTATTGTGAATTGTATCGTTGTGTATATATTAAAACGTATTTGTGTTAAAAAAGAAAACTGTGTATTAATCTTGTTGGCAAATATCATAAACTGATTATATATCGGCTTTTACTTAACTGCTAAATCTACAGTACAACTTAACTACTAAATTTAAGTTTATCAGTTAACTCAATTTCAGTATTTGAAATTTTAATACGTAATAACACCTTCCCCTAACACCTGGGAACACTGCACGCTATACAATGTGTTTAGTAGTTGAGGTTTTCCCTAATACCCGGAAACCGCTTCGCAGTAATTTGAACTTATGGTAGTTACAAGTTCATAGTATTACGCCTACGCGGCATATATCAACCAGTGAGGGTAAAAAGTTCTCATGTTACTCAGTCTTTCATAGAAATTCTCAAAATATCGTGTTTAAAAAAACATATCCGATGATTTCATTTTATTAACACTGGAAACTTGTATTTTTTTTTTTGTTAATAAATTTACTTAAGACAAAGATAAATACACAATTATAGACGTACCTTCTCTGTTGTTGTTTTCGTGCCAGGCTTCAACAATCAGTGAAAATGTTCCCTAAGAAAAGAAAGAAAATCTTCATACCAACAGGATCACACTAATTTCGCTTCATATAATCAAATTACATTTTACGTCATAATCAGATGAGCGAAACAAGCGTTGATAGTCATTAACTAATTATAAAACTCTCTGGCTTGTCACAGCTCTTCCCCAAGCAGAACTAAACTAGACTCCTTACATAATTAATAAATAATTGTTGTTTGAACATGTATTCATGAGGTGATTATACAATCGTTATTATGGTTTAGCGCCACTTCTTTAGATTACATATTGTGATATTCTTCTATTTTGATAAAAGAGTTAGCACAAATGATCACATATAAAGTGTAATAGACTTATAATAAGACCCAAAACTCGAGCGCATTTCGAATAGTTGACTATTCTTCTTTGTTCTCCTGAAGAAAAATAGTCAACTATTCGAAAGCGCTCGAGTTTTGAGTCTTATTTTACGTGATATTGTTCTAAATATTGTGGAAGCTCGTTGTTTGATACTATCTGTTCTTTCAAAACTTTTGGAGATTATATCGCGAGTACAGTTTAATATTATGAAATGCTCCCTCGTACTACAAAAATATCGATTGTAATAAGTAGATGGCGTTAAATATTGTTGCTATTCTAGAATTGAAATAAAAAGATGGACAGGCAACTGTTTAGTTCACATGTCTCCTTTAATTCACATGTGGTGAGTGACACAAGTCGACCCTTTCACTACTTATATGTCCACAGAGAAACAGAAGTAAGTTACGGATTTTCAATGGTCAAATCCGGGGTTTGATTCACCGCGGAAGACAAAAGTTAAGATAGCCTTGTACAGAACGAAATACCAATAGCTTTCCTATCTATATTCTATAAATGTGCATTGCAAAGAACGTAAAACTTCTACAGTGGAGTAGATTGTATGTTGAATAAAGACATATATAATGAGAAGAAAAGAGTCACATTGAACTTTGGGTTGAAGACGTGATTGTTCGAGAACTACACCTTATTCCTAGCGGACAGCTTGTATCATTAAGGTGAAGGATGTTACAACACAATATGAAATTTGTCAATATTTAATGTGCCAATACATATTTAGAAAATCCACAACTTATATCTCAAGAAGAAACAATACCATGATGCTGATGTAAAACTTGTTTGTTAATAATAAATAGCATACGTTTTTACAAATACTTGTGTCAAATTTATCACAAGTTTTATGGTTTCCGACTAAATGACACATTGCTTTCAATCAAAGTCCTCAATAACTTGAATAAGTTATTTCATACGGGTTTGGTTATGTATTTGGTACTTTTTTGTAGTCTGAATAGCACCCTATGCAAAACATGAGCTAACGACCAGGTTAGAGACTCCAAGGTTTAAGTATGGTCGTTCTTAACGTAGAACTGCTGTCCAGAGAAAGGGCAACCAGTTGGCAGTACCCGCCACCTACATGCCAACTTCTGGCTTAACAGCGTTATTGGTTGTTACTTTTATAATGCATCCATAAGCTGGAAATGTGGAGCGTGCTAAGCGACATATTGTGGCTTCGAACCTTGGACCTAATGATCTGCAGCCACTAGGCCGTTTTATTATATAAGCGACGCTATAATAAAGAACAAACATAACACCGTGCTCACATTTCTTCTTTGTAAGTATTTGACATGCATGATATAAAAATGTACCCTTACAAAGGCATGTTGCTAATTTTCCCCCAGTGGTCAAGCTATAAACGATGCAGAAATTAGCAACATGTTTTGTTTTTCAGTGGTTACATAAATGTTTAGCGTGGTTTATCCAAGCTACTTTTAGAACCACATAAATAACGTATTATTTCTCGGATAATGTGCACATTTACGGGATATTTCGGCCAGAGTATTCAACCAACGTGCGTCACCATCTAGAGTCCGTTTTATTCAAAAGTTTGCATTAACCAAGATTCTCGAGCCTTTGACATCAGATTACAGTCATAACACAAAAGCTGCTTAGAAAATGCATAACTTACGAAGAAAAACTGTTATCACTGCAATCTTCCTATCCGAAATATTTATTTTTCTATAAATCTTAACTGATCCAAAACGTATTTTTTCTAACGTGGTATGGATTTGAAAGTTAAAACCCAAGGAAGCTCGAAGTAGGAGGGTATTACAGCACGAAAAAATGCAAAACAAACAGCTACATGTAATGATATAGTCCGAGGAGCAAAAACACGTTAAAACCCAAGGAAGCTCGAAGTAGGAGGGTATTACAGCACGAAAAAATGCAAAACAAACAGCTACATGTAATGATATAGTCCGAGGAGCAAAAACACGTTAAAACCCAAGGAAGCTCGAAGTAAGAGGGTATTACAGCACGAAAAAATGCAAAACAAACAGCTACATGTAATGATATAGTCTGAGGAGCAAAAACACGTTAAAACCCAAGGAAGCTCGAAGTAGGAGGGTATTAAAGCACGAAAAAATGCAACACAAAACAGCCACATGTAATGATATAGTCTGAGGAGCAAGAACACGTTTTTGCAACGTTAGTTCAATTTAACCTACAGCCGGGATTTTTTTTAAATTATATGACTCAACTCTTATAGCATTTAGCATTACTGGTTTACAAGAAATGTCTGAGGTAGAGGTTTACTAACTAGTTAGACCGCATTCGATTTGAAGCACAGTTTGACCTTTTTAACTACGTTGGAGTTTGAGCAATAACGTTAAATACAATTCAGAACAAAAAAAAGTAATAAAAAATATTAATTCAAATTCAGGAAAGGTACTGGTATCAATGCCAGAATTGATTTTTAAAATCAGTTTCTTTCATCGAACGTGAAACACGCCTGACAGTTACGTGATACGAAGCTCGTTGTTGTCACGTTACTTCAGAGAATTTCACCTTCATAAGTGTTTAATTTTCTGTTTTCATCCAAGTTTTGTTGACGGCAGAGGTATATAAACAATTTCGCTTCTTTTTTTTTCAGTTATTAAATGTAAGAACAACCTATGACCAATGCGAAACGTGTGAAATTACATCATGGCAAGTGATTCAGTTAATTGATTTTAACAAAAGGAACATAGGGGTAGACTAACATTTGCACTGCTGTTATATGTTTATTTTATTTATCATTTTTGAAAATCGGCTGGATTTTTCTAATAATAACAGTGAAGAAAAGTTCTCTATTGGTTTGTTAAACCGACACAACAAAAAACCCTAAATTACACAGCTATATTTATTACCCTACGATATCGTATCAACTCTGTGGTCACACAATATTCAAAGGAAGAATTTATTCAACCTGACCTTCATAAAATTATCAGCAGACAATGTAGTTGTATTCAAAAATACTTCCCATGTTCCAGTTCATATAGATTTTTACTTTGAAGAATGATCTAACCAAAAACCTTTCAGGTAAACTTAAATTTATCAAAGAATTCATTAATATTGTATTGATTTGAAAGTCGTTACTTACCGGCCACGAAAAATCGAACGGAAATCGAATGGGGTTGATAAATCCGGGCACTTTTTTATCCAAAAGGCGCACTGAATTATTGCCCAACACTGGAGTTCTAATCTCACCAAAAGTGCACGGTGGGTTTGGGTCAATAGTTGTTTGGTAGTGTTTTAAACACACGCGGAAAGATGTCCGGCAAACACCACTACACAAGCCGTGCGAAGTACGATATCCCGTACAACAATTTCCCTCGAAATCTCGGCCGTTATCGTTGGAGAATGACACTAACCGAAACTCAAAAGCTCCCGAGCTTGAGACCTACATTACGACAAAGGAAAAAAACAAAAGTTGACCAGTTGTCTAACATAGAAACAAACAATTCAGTCGAAAAAAACGGTCATATCTATTATTGTTTATACGAACAATAACACGAATTTGGTTAATTCGAGTTATCTAATACAATGATAAAGATATATGTATATTACATTTAACTGAGAATAACTAGTACAATCAGTTGTGACTTTACGTAATAGTAATACTGTTACTAAAAATGTAGTTATCGACATGAATACTTTCTTAAGTTGAAACGTGTAAAGTAAAAAAAAGTTTATATTCCTTTAATTAAATAGCAAAACACGAAAATTCATTACAAACGTTTTCTCTGCTTATTACCTCCCAGTAGTTAAGTTCTAGTGTACATTAAAAAAAAAGATATATTTTTAATCAAATAATTTAACCAACAAGTATTGAACGTTTTTGTTCTTTATTTTCAAATAACAGAATCGTGAAAATTTGATTATTTGAAATAATTAACAATACTTTTATTTTATCTTTGAAATTATCTTACACAATAAATACTTGAAATTACATAAATCTGATGAACATGTTAAGATAGATACTTTTTCCATTTGTAGTTAACGTACTAACTTGACGACGTTGTCTTACCTGTAACACTATAGATGAAAGCACCACTATAACGAGCAGAGACGCCCGTTCTCGCCTCCCCATTGCGTCACGCTGTCGTCTGTTTAAGGTCTGTTTTCGATACACGTCGGCCTGGTCCCAGGATCGTGTAGGCTCCGCCCTCTCGCTTGACTGACAGGATTCTGAAGGAACACAGAAAACAGGGTGAGTCGCGTGCGACGGTGTTTCCGGTGGACAACGCGCCGCGGATCCAGGTGCTATATCCTAGGCGGAAACCACGGCAGCCTACATCCTATAAAGTTAGCATTAAATAAGAACATCTAGCCGATGTTTTTTTAAAAAATCAACTGTTGGTCAAAAACAATGCAAAAGATTTAAGTCCACTACACGGCTGAAGAAGTTGCATAACTTTCAACGCTTTTTTGGCGGTTCCAGTAAACGAATTATTCCTCTTCAACGTAACTAAACTAGAGGCATGATCTTTCTCCACGCCTGCAACTGAGCTACTGACTGAGGGCCGTTGTTTGACACCTGGTTTTTATAGTGGGCCGGGCGCATGTACTCAACCTCAGCGTAATAGGACTCAGTCAAGCAGCGGAGCAGCAGTACGTCGTTCATATTAAATTCATGATTTCGTATACCTCAAACAACGCAGAAAGAAGAATGTTGCAACTAATACACACAATACAATTTTCCTTTAGGTACTTGTTAAGTTACCGCTCATTATATCTATATATATTTTATACAGAACCTAGATAATATTTTTTCACTGATGTTTAGGACTACATTTCGGTTATTAACATTCAGTGATAATTAATCAAACAAACTAATACAAACGTTCTTATTTTGTACCAAACTCATCTGGATATATAGTACTTCATAGCTGACCACCAGCTGTGTCCGCAGCCAGTTCAGCAAGCAGAAATACATGTCTTCCTTTTTTTATCGAACTCATTTTGACATATTTAGCAAAATAGAATGATTTCCATACAAAGTAGTTTTTATTCTCAGCTTTTTAAATCTAATGGTTACTAATGCATTCAAAGTTTCTCATAAAGCACCTAAAACGAGGTTGGGAAAAATGGAAAAAAAATAATAAATATTATTTTTGCGAAGAATTTATCATTGGTCTAGACAAACAATCACATCGACGTCGGACGAAAACAAAATCTTCGTATTGTGTATGCAACCCATTACGCTATTTATATTCCGAAGTTAACAGAGAATTCATTCTACGTGCATTGCACGTGTTAAGCTATTGCGGTAAAAATGTGAGTTGATTCCTCAAATCTCAAGTCTCGGTGAATTTCGAAACCCCTCAAAAGTTATCATCAAAATGTTAAAAATGTTTCTTTTATTATTTACCTGTAAGTAAACTATTAAATGTATGAAGTTTGAGTTCAAAATATTTACCGAAATTAATTATCTACTGCACATTAATCACGATCTAATACGATTTCCGTTTCAGATAGCCTGAGGATATACCAACACTTCTGTCTTTAGTGGAGTTATTAAATCCACGTTAAATTGATTAAGACAGAAGGATTGTTCTATTCTGTGGATCGCTACATTTTTTAACACAGACGTAATTAGATAAACATTGATTAAATTACATTGCCTTAGAAGTTGTTGTTTACGAGGATTAAGCTTTTGTTTATTTTTACTTAGTTCATGCAGACTGTTGATGAAACATCTTACCAGTGTCTTTCACTTTGAAATATATATATACATGTATGCATATGATGATGACAAAACCTTGTCGAAACGTTGTACATTTGCTGCTATGTTAAACTTATATTAAAGTTTTCTTCATTACCCATTCAAGCCGTCTCCAACCATTATTAGTCTCAAAGTGGGTTCCTCGTCATCGAATTTGGATACAGTAGGGTGTTGCCTATCAATCGGTCAGTAGAAACGCAAATGACGTCACATAAAGGATACTTAACGTTGCATTTTGTACTGTCGTGACCTCAGTAAAACGTGCATGCTATAAATCACGAGAAGAATTGTGCACTCTGTAGGCTACAACACAGCATAACATATGAACTTCAAAAACAAGCAATACAAATATTTGTGACTCTTTGGTTTTATTTATTCTTGAAGTAGAACACTTTCGAGAACCCTGCGGAGTAACATCTAATTATATTTAGGTAAAGCAGCTGAACAGCGACGGTTAATGTCTATACCAACTTGAGATACGCCTTTTAAAGGGATTAATTATGTACATAATTTCATATCTCGGTTGCCTAAGAGTTAACAGCATGGGGCACGTGGTGACAGTTGCACACTCTGTTCACACTCCGGGATTTTTGTCAAGTTTTCTGAGATCTATTTCATACCTTCTGTGAATGAAACAGTGAGACGAAGGGTTCTTAGTTGTTTGCTGGACCTTGATTTGTAGGAAGGACATTTGATATAATCAGTGCCTAGTTACTAAAAAAAATAGACCCATGTTGGCAGGTGAGAGGAATAGACTTGGAATTTTGAAAGATGACAATTTAAACGTTATTGAGGCTAGTATTCGGGGAGATACTGCAGAAACAAAGCACTGTTTATAAAAATATCTTAACATTCATTCCAGTGTATTTACAATTATTTAATATACAAAAATGAAACAGTCTTAAAAGTTATTTGGGCATAAAGATGAAATTTTTTTTTTTTTTTTTAAAGCTGAGGTAAACAGTAATATAAGTTATTTAGATGTGTTACTTGCATGTTTTAATATATAATGTTTGTTGAATCATCGAAATACCAAGCGTTTGTTATGTTAACCGAACAACAGGTAATAATGCTGAAGAGTTGCACTGAGATACGACAGCACAAGGCACGTGATCGGTATTATAATCAATTATGTAAGTAAAAAACTCCTGAACTAAGTATGCTTGTCAAGGAGTATAAGCTGCATGGAGAGGTCCCCAGCTGCCTTTTCTCTTCTTGCTTATCTTCCTTTACAATAGCCGTCACATGAACCAAGGGCTTTTTTGCTCATTTCTCTGCCACATCATTCGAACTTCTTCTAGCGTTTTGTCCGGCATCTGTTGCACGTGCAGCGTCGTTCCACACGAGCACAAGTGGGAGAAGCTCCCCTAAGGCGCAGCCTGTTGAGCAAAGTTGAAACTACCATCTGTTGAATCACGTACCTGAACTTGTACGCTTTGTTTAGTCCCCCCCCCCTTTTTTTTTTAGTGAATACATCGTTGATAACGGGTAAAATTTTAAAACTTATGCCTAAGAGAAGGAATATGAAATATTGTTAGATTGAGTAAAATATTTTTTTTGGAAATGTAACATTTGATTTATATGAACAGAGGCGTATACATAAAAAGTTCATCCAAGAACGAAGATGTAAAACCAAACTCACCATTATCTTCCTTGAATATATAGCTGAAGGGTTTGTTCTGTGGTAGTGTTTGAGATAAAAAAAAGAATTTACATCTCAAGGAACATAAATCCTTAGTGATTTTGTTGAAATTTTTAACGTTAACAAATTGTCTGGTTCCTGCCTCTTATTGTTGATTTGTTTTTCGTTTTTTTTAGATAGTATTTTGTAGATCGAGTCCAGAGATTTATAAGTTAATAAGTAATTTTCTTTTGAGAACTCGAATATGTCTCTGTTTTAAATCAGCTTATAAAACCACACAACACTTTAAAAAATGTGCTATATTATTTTCATTTTTTATTATGCAAATCCGTGAAACTACTCGTAAAATTGCTCAAATGAGACAAACACGAACCTCCAAAGTACCAGATATCAGAACTTGACATATTACGGCGAAATATTGTGAAATTTTAATTACAGATTTTAGCATGGGGAGAAAATATTAAATCTTCACCAACAGAAAACATAACTCCATCAATCAGAAATAATCACATTAATTGAAACTCGTTCTACATCAAATTTATTCGAAAGAGCATCCATACTTCAATTAATATCAAAATACAAAATAAACAAAAAAAAAAACAAAAACAAAGGATGTGGCGAAAATATGGTAAAAGTCAAGTTTAAAATAACTGCAGGGTTGGTGAGGTAATTTTATGCACACACTAACATAATACCTTGGAAGCATCGTCAATCAATACGGACGCTAGACAGCCTGTTATTTTAAGGGTTGTTGTACAACAATAATATGAGAATATTGAAATCGTTTACTTTGTCATTTCGAAGCTAAGTGGGCTTGGAAATTTAATCTCAAGCTTAAGCTGTAGCATTAAACGTTTCTCGTTAAACAAACACACAGAGTTATATACCTTATCATCTTATTATTCTTTTACACACAGAGACTTATGTATACATACATTCGTACGACTATTATATTTATGTGTGTGTGTATTTATGTAAGCATACGCATTTTATTTTAACAAATTATGAGTTGTAAATAAATTTTGTTAGTTTGGCAGTACTTGCTTAAGCGCAATAGGCCTAATCGTGAGTGACAATTTTTTAAAATAATAAATATGTCAATAATACTATTTTAAAAAGCATTGAACGAGTTTGAAAGTATTACTGCCAAGATAAATATAATATTACTGTGATTAATACTTGGGCTAGACTAAACTTTAATGTTGCTTGTAAATCTGTCAAATGGCTTTTAAGATAACAAAAACTACAGAAAATATATGATGGGGTGCCACCTTTCGTTGTAAAAATTGATTAACACTTTAATATATGGAAATTAGTGTTGCGTTCAGGATTATAACGAAATTTTCTTATAGATGGAAATAAGTCAAAAACTGTAAAAGTTGAATAAACGCAGTTGATTAGGCTTCATATGATTACAATCCAAAGTCCAGGTAATCAAAATAGTTATATGAAGCAAAACATATTTTGTAAGTAATTAAATTGTAGACTTTTTCAATGATCAAATTACTAGACATAACTTTGGACATAACAAATATATTTATGTAAAACAAATACACGTGGAGAAGACCTTTGTTATACCTACAACGTGTCCTTCAAATATTATTAATTTCAAAAAGATTCGCTCTAAACTATGTTGTTCTAGTGTCATATAAGTTTCTACTAGAGACATCTAGCGGAGTAACTGGGCGTAAATAGGGATTTTTGTTGTTGTTGTTTTAGATTTTCTTACTACCTAATTCCCAAATTTCGCGAAGAGTGAGAAACGATTAGTTTAAAAGGTATTCTAGGAAAATCAGTTCTTTGCAGTGATTAGTATGAGATCACTTCTCAATTCAGGAATTTGAACATTTTTCACGAACACTGCTCTTATTAACGCGATATCCGGGCACACATCAATTTTAGTTGTTGATGTATATCATAAACGACTGCAAAATATTACACTTCATAGGCATGGCTCGAACCAGAAATGAATCTCTGTTATCAACTATTGGTATGTCTTTCGATAAACTTTTTATTCATTTATTCCTTTTATGATTTCAAACTCTATTGTCTTTTTCGTTGTACAACATAAGAATACAAGAA